ACCTTTCCTGGTGCAGTCAGTCTGCTGAAATCGCAGAAGTGCTGCCAGCCTGACCTGCAGAGTGAGACCATAAATGGCTCCCCGTTGTTTCAGATGGAACAGGAGCACAGCAACAAAAGTCTGGCAGGGGGAATCCTTTAAGAAAAGGGTTAGGAAAGCCTTTTGTGGAGGTGCAGCTGGTTCCTTTTCCCATGCAGGAGGAAGGCTCTCAGCAGCAGCAGCAGCAGCAGCAGCAGCAGCAGCAGCAGGAGGCTCCGTCCGCCTTCCCCAGCGCCGCACATCCCCCGGTGTTACCCCGACGGCAGAGTTTGGAGAGCCAGTACCTGAAACACCGGCTCCAGGTACTGTCCTGGGGCTGCAACCAGCCCAGCAGAGCAGCTCTGGGACCCAGAAAAACCCTCAGAGGATCAAAGCTGAACGGGGAGCTGCTCTGTTGGTGTCACACCCTGACCCTACTGACCCTACAAGCGCATTTTTGTGTTTTCCCTCAGCCTGGCAGGGGTTWAAAACTGCTGCTGGATACAGATCTTTGCTCCAACATCCAGAAATGTTCTGCATCAGCCTCTGAGGAGCCACTTCTTAACCTCCTGGGCCTTCCTCTTCCACACCCCCTTTGTTTCAAACCCATTCTCATACAGCTTTAGTTTATAAAAAACTTTTTTCCCTCCAGTTTTCCAGCTTGTAGCTGCTTTCATTAGGGAAGAAAGCTTTCCATGGATTTTTTATGGTGCAATCTCTCACAGAAAAATATTGTCTAAGGGTTAGAAGCCAATGAGCAGSAGTTTTTATGGGTTTAGAGTGGCCCTATGGACATCAGGGCCATAACAAAATCTTTCTCCTGCTTTCTGGACTCATGGATTAAATCAAAAGCCATTTAACCCAGCTCTGCTTTCCTTGCAGAAGCCCACCCTGCTCTCAAAAGCTCAGAAYACTTGCCAGCTCTACTGCAAAGAACTGCCCCGGAGTTTGGAGCAGCAGCTCCAGGAGCACAGGTGAGAATCTCCCAAACTCTGCAGAGAAATTAACTCTCAAGAGTGATAAAAGAACTGGAACTATCTTTGTCCATTTAGAAGTTATTTGAAAAAGGGAAAGTTTCACTTCWAAACTGTAATAAAGAGGGAAACCACAGTCCTGTTGTGTGTTTACAAATTTCTCTGCTTGATCTTCAGCTCCCCAGAGCAGGCTTTAAACACAAGAACAGAGCATCTCATTCTCAGCAAAATGAATTAAACAATGCTTAAAATCCACTTTAAATGCATGAATTAAACAACACATTAGCTTAAAAAATTGATAAAAAAGGTTGTCAGAAGGGGATCTGTGCACCCTGAAAGGTGCTAACTTTGATCTGCAGTAACAGTCAATGAGCAGATTGCCCAGGGATTCTCCAGGGCACTGGGAGTTGTGTGAGTGGCCAGCGTGCAGGACTCGTGCTGGCCCAGATGGCACAGAATAATTGTCAATGATTGATATATGGACCATGTTTAGGGGTTTCTTGTATGTAAAGCTGCTTATTATAATTAGTTTTGTATTTTATAAGAATTTAAACCATTAATAATCACATACAATAATATTTGCATACAATGTATGAAATTAATAAAGTTTGTGGGGGTTTTGGTGTTTTTTTCATTTCTTCTCTACCCTTTTCCTACAGTTTTTAGCTCTCTGCAAACGCTTTTTTTTGTATTTAATTATAATTACCCACTCACAATTTTTCCCACGACTAACCCTTCTTCCCTCCTCACCTCAGGCTGCACCAGAAGAGGCTCTTCYTGCAGAAGCAATCCCAGCTTCAGGCTTATTTCAACCAGATGCAGATAGCCGAGAGCTCGTACCCCCGTGGCAGCCAGCTGCCCCTGCCGTGCCCGGAGGAGCCACAACCCCAGCAGCCCCAGCAGCAGGAACAACCATCCCAATTCAGCCTGAGCCCCGTCCTGGAGCCYTCCTCGGAGCAAATGCAGCTGGAACCATTCCTCAGCCAGTTCCCCAAGGTGCCCAGCTCATCCCAGGCTCAGCCCAGGCCACTCCAGTTCCAATTCCAGACTCGAGAGGTGCCCGCGGCGCCCGCGGCCGAGCCGTGCCCGTTCTCGCTGGACACAACACCCCAGAGTGGCGTGGCRCTGACCACCGAGAGTCCAGCCAGCTCTGCTGCACCCACAGAACCCAGCTACGACCCCCTGGCACTGTCAGAACTGCCCGGACTCTTCGATTGTGAGATGATGGAGGCTGTGGATCCCCAGCACGGAGGGTACGTCCTGGTTAATTAGCGCCCAGGAGGACGAATGGAGCAGCATGTCCGTTTTTTTTTTTGGTTGTTTTTCGTTCCTATCCCCCCCACCCCGGAATTCATGGTAATTTTTCGATCCTTGAATTAATAGGGGAACTAAAAATCCACCTGGATGGAAGAGGAGTAAAAATATAGAAAAAAAAAAAAGCAGGAGGTGTTTGGCACCCCGTGGTAGGGGCTGGAGRATGGGGAGTGCAGCTTCATCCCACAAGGGCTGCGTAGGAGGAGGCAAAAAAGGTGAATTTCAGAAGAAGGAAAAGGCCCCTTCAAAAAAATCGTGGGGAATTTATCAGCATTCATCCAACATTCACTTGGAGAGAGGAGAGTGAGTGCACACTTATCATCCTTCTTGGCAATAAAAGCAATAGTTTTCATCGAAATTCAGGGTAGATTTGGTTCTGCACTGATGGCAACTGAAATCCTCTGGGCAGCGAGGTGGAATCCGAGGGAAGTCGCACCTTGGTTGAGCTCCTGGGCTGGAACCACTCTCAGGCAGCCTCCACTTCCTCCTGCTGGCACCCAAACAGTATTTCCCAAACCTGCCAAGGAGCTCTTCACTGTCTGCTGCAGGAATCTGGAGCGAGGGACACCCTGACTTTGTCAAAAGAGACTTGGGACTGAAACCACAGAGGTTTGGAGAGACCTCTGGGTGGGAATTGGAATTGTGGAGGATCAAGGATGAGCCAACAGAGACTGAAGGTAAGGAGAGCCATGAGAGAGAGCCAGAGCTGCAGGAAATGGCATTAAAAAAAATAAAATCCACCTGGGTGGCTTTTAAAATCACCTCCTTTTGCAGGAGGGCTCAGTCCTGGAGAAGCTCTGCTCGCTGGAAAGGATCCACCTGTCCCTGGGTTGCATTTAAAAAGAAAAAAAAACAAAAACAAAAAAAAAACAAAAGCAAACAAAACTGTGTTTTGAATTTGCAGTATGTGTTGCTGGTGGTTTTATTGAGCTTTGTATATTTGGACAATTATTTAGAGTTTTAGAACTTTAAGGATTAAAAAAAACAAAACAAACCGATGAGCTTATAAAAAAACAAAAAAAAAAAAAAAACCACCCCTGTGAAGTGATAGTGCTGTGCCTTTTTCAGTTCTTTATCAGCCTCTACGCTTTTTTCTGAAGGAAGTAGACAATACCCCATTTATGTCCTTGCCGTGGCCAAAGTCCCTTCAGAGCAGCGGTCCCACCGTGTGGGAYGTGTTGAGCTCGGTGCCAGCAGGGCACTGGAGGTATCACAGCAATATCCAGCATTCCCAGGGATGCTCCACAACTCCTCCAATTGTGGGATCCCAGTCATAGGAAAGGGGTGGGAGCTGAGAGCTGCACTTTGGGGTTGTCTCTGACCTTGAGGTGTCGTGGGACAAGGCAGGACAGGGGTYGGGTCAGCCTTTCCTGAGCAAACATCAATTAATGAGCACAACCTCATTAAAGCACAAAGAACGAGGGACTGTGCTGATCAGAGCTTGCTCTGGGGTACTGGAGGGTGGGCAATCAGCCTYTACAGCAATAAGAGCCACAAAAAAACAGAACAGGAGGGGTTAACAGGGGACAGAAGGTGCCTGGTCCTGCTCTGCTCRGCCAGGGACAATTCCTGCTCTCCAGAGCTGGGTCTAACACTGCTCTGGCTCAGCCCCAAAGTGTTCAGCTCTACCTCTGATCCCACGGGATTCCCAAGGCAGCAGCAGCCAAGGAGAGTTTAAAGGACAGGGATCCATCCACACAGAGAGGGACAGAGAGCTCTGCTCTCAAGAAAAGGATTTTGGGGTGGTTTCACTCCAAAAGGAAATGTGTCTGACACAGTGGAACACACAGACCCTGTGAGGCACCTGAGGGCATGGACAGAGGGGAGGGAAAGAGAACAAGAACTCCAGCAGGACAGAGCAGGAAAAGAGAGGAAACAAGAGTCCTGTCCTCCAAACCCCACAGCATAACCCCCACGCTCTGGAATGTGAATATCTGCCCAGACACTGATGGAACTGTGCAGGGAAAGCTGCTGCCAGGACACCCAGAGCTCTGGAGACAGCCCCAGCGCTGGCTGCCTGCCAGAACCATAACCACTTCCTTCCCCATCCAGCTCCAGGATCCTGCACGCTTCAGGACTCAAAAGATAAAAATAATTCTGTCCTGGAGCTGTGCAATTCATTTATCAGGATGTGCCAAGCAGGCTGAGCTCCTCTGAGCCGGGCAGTGCTGGGCAGGGGGAAGCTGCAGTATTTTTTAATGTAGTTTAGACTGACTCTTCCCCCCCTCAGCCAAAASCATATTTAACATTTCATGGAATTTCCTTTAAGCCAATTAGGACTACAAGGCTGCTGAAGCCTTTTCAAGCAGACAGGATCCATCGGGCACCACTTTTGAAGTGGTTTTTTTTTTTGTTCCAACCTGCTCTGTTGCACCCTTAGAGAACTGTGTACACTACTGGTAGAGTCATTATTAGCTTTATTATCTTGTACTACAGCCTCCTTTGGAGAGACTTTGGTGTGATGTATATGGGGTACCGATTTCATACGGAGAAAAGTGCAATATGTGTGTGTGTGGTATGTTCTTTAATGTATTTTTTTAAAGGATTTAGAGGGTTTAGTCTCGGCTTTGGGATAAATGCACTAGTTTTGTGAGCTCCRGTTGGGCAAGTTCATCCGTAGTATTTACACGCGACTGATCTGGGCTCTGTGAAGCAGTTACAGTGTATTAATACGAAATAAAGAATATGTGCATTTCATTTTTTAAATTTCTAGTGAGCCCRAAGCAGCCCCTGCCACTCTTGTCTTCATCAGAGTCAGGTTATTTTCTCCCTGAGGCACCAAGGAAATCCGTGTGCCTGTTGCAAACACTGGGTTTTCTAAAGACTGAGGTTTGCTTCCCGTGGTTCTGACACACTTGGGGTCGTTGGTACCACTGACTTCAGCCAAATGTGAATTTGGAACTGGAAAATTTGGTGCCACAGGACTGGGACTCTCATTAATAGAGGACTCATTCAAAATTATTTCAGATAAGATCAAAAACCCCAGCAGCTCTGGTGACATTCCTGTGACCCTGACGCTTCCTGCCGATATCAAAGTGGGAWTTTTGGAGATAAAGTGCAAAAGTTGGTGGAGAACCAGCGGATTCACCTGTCCCCTCAGCCCAAAAGTGCTTTTAGGTGGTAGCTCAGCCCCAAACAGTCACCCTGAAGGGTCTTTGTGGCACCCAGGGACACGAAACCCTTTAAACAGAAGGTTTATGTCCCACTGAATGTAAAATGAGAGCAGGAATTAATTCTCTCCTGCCTTTCTCCCTCCCTGCTGGACAAAGTGCAGGGCTGGCAAATGAGGCACAAATGGCACAGCCCTGACCCYGATGGGAACACGGCCAAAAAGGTCACTGTGGGCAGAGAATTGTGAGCTCAGACCAGAGGGTTTTGCTGATTCAGGTTGATTTTCTGGAGGGGAGGTCAGATGGCAGAGAGTGCTTTTTAAATGCAATGAAAAGAAACTTTTAATGGGGTGAATCCACTGGGAATCTGCTGGGAATCAGGCAGGCAAAGCCTCAAAAGGGATAAAAATCAGGGAAATGGAGAAAGGAGGAAAAAAAAAAGGAGTTCCTGCCCCCAGCGCTTTGAGGATTCCATTGTTGCACCTCAAGGTGCAGGGAAGAACTCAGTGCCACCGACTGAGGGTTCTGAGGATGAAGGAATTGGTGACAACCCCGAGGAGAAAGAAGGTGGCATCAATCCCTGCTCCCTGCAAGCCAGAGCTGGAGGGCACCATTAATAACGGGGCAAATTAGTGACAGAACCTCGTTAGTGCCACTCGGGAACGGGGATGAGGGAGGGATCAAATCCTGAATGATTGTCACTGCTCGGGAGAGCTGGGATGGGATGGGATGGGATGGGATGGGATGGGATGGGATGGGATGGGATGGGATGGGATGGGATGGGATGGGATGGGATGGGCTGCCTCAGAGTCGTTGCCATGCCAACACATCTGACCATCCCACTGGTCAGAAGTTTTGGGTGATTCAGCACAGGAAGCCAAGGGAAGGCTCAGGAGGGCTTTAACCCTTCCCCAGGAGAAGCACAGAACTCTGACGGGTGTGATGAAAAAGGGAAACGCTGCCAAATTTCCCTGCCAGCTCTGGATGCAGCAAGGTCAAATAAAAACCAGCGAAAAACCCCACGAAGCACACACAAAACCCTCAAAATGCACCAGCAGGAATTGCCTAAAGGCMCAAAGCAGCCAGCCCAGCGCTCAGCAGCCCCCAAAAGGGGCACGTTCTGCTCCAAACCCCACAAAAAGGGGCCCCAGAGCTCAACCCCTCATTGCTGCACACCACAGCCACCACAATTCTCCATTTGCAGCCACCCTTGGCCAGCAGACACAGATCCCAACCGTGCCAAGGTTAAAAATAACCAAACCCTGCCTTCCCTGGGACCACGTGGCTTCAGCCTTCACCCTCCCCAGTTAAATCCAACCCTTTCCCCTCCAGCTCCAGAGACATTCCTGGGGTCCCCAAACACTTCACCTTTTCATTCGTGTTTATTTCAAATAATCACATTTTGGAAGAGAAGCCAGAGTTCTGTGAAGATCAGACATTTCTCAGGTCTTTGGCCAAATTTATCCCAAATATTGACATTAATGACAATAACTGGTGCAYTTAACATTCCACAGGGCAAGATGGACCTGGAAATGGCCACTCACTTCATTTCAGCAGCTAAAATAACAGGAATTCGGGGGGAAGGCTTTCCAAAATCACCACCAGGAAAGTCATTCTGCTCCCTGAGCTTGCTGAGCTCCAGGACACCCCAAAAATTCCATCCTGACCCGCTTGGGTGCCACAATTTAAACAAGATAAACACACACAGAGTGCCAGCAGGAAAAAAAAAATATTCAGGAGCAGCTCATCCCTATCTCAGAACGGGAAAATGAGTGAGAAAAGCAAAGTGGAAGCAAAACCCGGGCGTTCTTGGTTTATTTGGAAAGCGTTGCCTGGAACCCTGGCACGCCTCAGCTGCATTTTTCTCTTCCCCYGGGGGATTTGTCCCAGAATACCAGCCTTTAAAAGGGCTGGGTTTTCAAATCTTAGAAGCCACAATGGCAATTTTAATTGTTTTTTTTTTTTCTCCTCCGAAAGAATTAATTGTAAACTGCCTAAAAATAAACCTGGAAAGGCTCAGAGGGGAAAGCAACTCAGGGAGTTCTGCCTCTGTTTTTCCTTGCTAGGTCACTGGGGAATGGGAAAAACCTTTCCAGACCCAGAGATCTCCTGGAGATGATCAGAAAAAAATCCAGARATCCATAATTTTCCACAGTTTCCAGGATTATTGTTAAGAATTCCCAGAATTTATCCTCCTCACACCCTGTGTGCCTCACGCTTTTGAGGGGTAAGAAATAACAAAACCGTGATTTTGAATAAACCCCTCAAAAGAGTTAAAAGCGCAAAGGGCAGAGCAGAAACCAACCAGACTAAAACTGATGAATCGGGCAAATATTTCCCAACAGGAGAGATGAATCCAGCTGGAACCAAAAGGTCAAATAAACACCTTTTTTTTTTACCAACTATTTCTCCTTTCTGGGGGAAAACTTCTAAACATAAACTTCAAAACCAACGAGGAGCCTTCCTGCACAACAAAGCTTTAAATCTTGCTCCTCCARCAGCTTTTCCAGAGGTGATAAATCCCAGCAGARATCCCWTGGATCACTCCAGGCTCACCCAGCRAGGAATTCCAAGCACCAGGGACCATCGGGGATATTTTTTTTGGCTCCAGCTCCGAGGGCACAAAGATGGATTTCACTTGGCCGAGCTGCAGAATGCAATTAAGGAGCAGACTGCCTTCCCCTAGCAGGGGAGGGGAAAAGTTTCCTGCCAGAGCCAAACAACTTTAACAAACCCAACAGTTTGCCAGGGAAGAGCTTTGCCAGGGAGGATCTTCAAGCTCCTTGTTGTGAAACAGCTCTGAAAGGCAGGGCAGCAAAGGTAATTCCTCTCTGGATAAAAAAAAAAATAATAATCTTGGGGGTTATAGGAATTGCAGAAATAAGGAAATTGAGTGTTTCAAAAATTGAAAATAAAGAGATGGAGGGCTTGCAGTGACAAAGTTACACACAAGTGGTGCACACACCAAAAATCATTGGGGACAGGGTTCTGGCAAAGTTTCTTTATGGGAACTCCTAAAAAACCTGTTGCTGAAAATCCTCTGGGATTTTCACAGAAGCAGGGTTTCACTTGGGAAAACCAGAGCATCCTGCAGCCTCCATAGGGGAGCTAAAAACACCCCAGGGATGCCCATGGCAGGGAAAGGGGCTAAAAACACCCCAGGGATGCCCATGGCAGGGAAAACGGGCTAAAAACACCCCAGGGATGCCCATGGCAGGGAAAACGGGTTAAAAACACCCCAGGGATGCCCATGGCAGAGAAACGGGCTAAAAACACCCCAGGGATGCCCATGGCAGGGAAACGAGCTAAAAATACCCCAGGGATGCCCATGGCAGGGAAATGGGCTCTCCACACCCCTGGAACCAGAACACAACACCAGGAACACGGAGTGCTCCAGCAGAGCAGGAAACCCAGCCCAGCTCCTCCTGGGGAGATGCTGARCGCTCCCTGCCCTCTCTCATCAAGGATTCCTTTCAGGAGCTCGCATTTTTTAGGATGATTTTTTGCCGGCACCACTGTCCTGTCCCTCCGCAGGATTTGCTGCCCAAGCGCCGTCAGCACCGCAGTCAGATGAGGMACAACCGGCCCGAGCTATTTAGGGCGTGAAGAGCCGAGCACAAAAAAAAACACATCAACAGCTTTCATCGCCCCGCCGGGAGGTGCAGAGTCCACAGAAACGCGGCTGGGAACTCAGCAGCCAAAAATCACAGAGCCACGGAACGTCCCGAGCAAAAGGGACCCGCAGGGGTTGGGGAATCCAGCTCCTRGCTCTGCACAGAAACCCCAAAAGTTCTGAAATACCTGACCTGGAGATGCAGAGCTGTCTCAGGGCAGGGGACAGGTCACTGGGGATTTGGGGTGGGAGTGCAGCACAGAGGAGGGCTCAGCTTCCATCCCGAAATCCGAAGTTTTCCCCACAGCAAAAGCCCCAATTCCGCACCCCAGCCCGGGACTGATCCCCCCGGACCCGGCTCTTCTCCTGGAGCCCGATGTTCTCTCCTGGAAACCCGAGGAAGAGCTGGAGCAGCGATTCCCAGCCAGGAAAGGTTAAACCCGGCGAGATTCCCACCGGAGACCCCTGAGAATGAAAAAAACAGGAGCTCCCGTTCCACCACAGCGTGCGGGGGAGGCCGGGCAGGAAACARGAGCTGTAGGATCACAAAAACAGCCAGGATTTACCCCCCTGCTGACACTGCGGTGGGTGTCTCATTCCCATTGGAATTGAGGGGCTGGACACGCAGAGATCCCTTTGCTTTGGCAGCTCTGAAGAGCCTGAGAGAGAATTGAGGATTTAGAAGCAAACCTGGCTCTAAGGTAGCAGTTTCCACGGAATAATCATAGGGTTGGGGCTGTTTTGAGGCGAGATGCAGCCAGAACGGCACAAAGCTGGATTTGTGGAGTAGATTCCCAGGAAGGAGCCAAGGAGGATTCACTGGGGATTCACTCCTCGCTCGGACCCTCGGGATTGTCCCCCCTGTGCAGCACCAGGAGCCCCAGGACAATGCTCTGGGAGCGGCAGGGCAGGGCTGCACCTGCTGGACAGGATAACAGGGATGTGGGAACYCCACCCGGCCCCAAAACCACCGTGAAACCCCAAATCTGCCGTGCCTCGCCCAC